ACACAGTAATTAAACAAACTGAGAACCTGATTTAGGAATTTGCTTTTGTAACAAAGAGCTGGGTCCCAGCCGATCAGGGCAGCCCACCTTGAGTCAGTCACAGCCAGTCAGCTCTTCAAACCAGGTTCAGTTAAACCGGTACCTCGCTTCTGTTTCCTGTAGATCACTTCCCCTTCTGTCTACCAATGTCTTTCTGGATCTGTTCTGGTTCTGCGTGTTGCCTGATTCCCGGAACCATTCTTTGCTCGGTTAATCTCTGTTAAACGTACAGGGGTAAGGCCGTCGAAGCTTCATGGAGGACGTGGCGGGACAGGGATGGAGGAGCCAGGGACTTCTCCCTAACAGACGGCGTCATCCCGAGAGAGACCCTGACCGGGCTACTTTCACTACTGGCGGGGACCAGAGCAAACTCAGGGTCTCCACTTTCCCCCTTGCCTTCTGCCATTGCTCCCATTTCTTTCTTTTTTGCTACCTACCTCCCCCGGGCTTACAAAAATCCCCAGAAAATATGATTCTGATGGTTATGGGGACCCCTACTAGGGGGCGGAAACACAACAATCTCTACTTGTGCATCTAGATTGAAGCCAGTAATCGCTACAAGGACAGAAACCCAGCAACCCTCCCCTCTCCTCTGAAAACCCTGCCGCTCATTAGCTGAAGAAGGCCCAGTAACTTAAAGCATTTTTTGACAAAGAGGGCCCCAGGAGGATAAAATGACATTTTAATTAACATCATCGGAGGAGTCATTTCATTTTTAGCATGTATTTATTTGAAAGAGAGAGAGAGAGAGAGAGAATTCCATCGTCTCTGCTGTTTTCACGGCTTCCACCAGGAGAGACCTGAGACCAGGATGCGGCGTAGGATGTGCGTGCTGAAGGAATTGCAGCCTTGCTGTGACCTTGTACATCTGCCCCAAGTCCATTTTGCTTGCTTCAGGAACGTGGGAGAAGTATCCAGGTTGGTGGACGGGTTTCCAGTCCTAGTTCTGGCCCCTGCCTTCTTCCCTGGGGCATCCCTTACTAGATTCTAGGTTCTGTGAAGACAGGGATGAGATGACACCCTGCATCGTAACATCCCGAGACTGGCATGATGGGATGCGTGTGTGCATGGGTGTTGGAAACAGCGCATGAGCATGCATTTAAGGCCGGCTGGCGAGGTGCTTGGGAGCCGCCTTTGCCTTGCTAAGTACTTGTTTTACAGTTCCTGCCCACTTCCTGTCAGACCGGAGCTTTGTGAGACAACACACTGAGCTGATGCTTCTCAACAGACAGTTCGGGGACTGAGAGCTTAAGAAGCATTTGACGGGGCAAGCCCGGCATCCCATATGGGAGCCCATGTGAGTCCCGGCTGCTCCACTTCTCATCTAGCACCCTGCTAATGTGCCTGGGAAAGCAGCAGCGGATGGCCCAAGTGCTTGGGCCCCTGCACCCATGTGCGAGACCCGGGTGAGGCTCCTGGTTCCTGGCCTCTGGCTCGGCTTGGCCCAGCCCCAGCCGTTGCGGCCATTTGGTGAATGAACCAGTGGATGGATGCTCTCTCTCTCCCTTTCTCTGTATCTTTCAAATAAATAAATAAATCTAAAAAACACACAAAACAACAACAAAAACCTACAGAGCTGTGACTGCTGCCCGTACCAGAGAGAACATCCTTTAGGCCTACCCAAGGCCATCTCTGATGATGCCTGAGTGAATGTCTCTGCAGCCCCACGAGGAAGGGCTTTGGGGCTGGAGGAGCGGTCTCTCTCCAAACCCATATCTACCACCGTGGATTCCACCGGCGGTCAGGTCAGACCCAAAGGGATGCACACACCCTCTGGAGGTGCTCTGGGTTCCTCTCGTTGACTCTCCTAGAATGCCCCCACCCCGGCTCCCCACAAGTATAACCCATGATTTCATCAATCCTGCAGGACCCCTGGTTTCTCAGGAGCCCGGGCTTTCCAGCACAGCACCCAGGACCGCGGGGGAGGGAGCCCCACCGTCTTCGGGGAGTGGAGCCTGGATACTTCCATGCGTAAGCAGGGTCGCCGGGCTCTTTGCTGAGACTGCCCTCACCTGTCAGCTCGTGGCGCACGAATTCACTTTGTCAAGACTATTCTACAATTGCTGATTGCCTCAGTACTGGGGGGTTGGTTTTCATGGACTTTTTTTCTCCCTGAACACTGGGCACATTTCCCTGTTTGTCCACAGGGGCAGCAATCGTTAAAGAACTGGACGCCGTGTATCTGTGCGTGGTGTGTTGGACGGGCCCAGAGCTGTTACTTTCCTCCAAGGAGGGATTTTGTGCTCAGGCTGTTAGGAGGGCTGAACTCAAGATGCTGCTCCGTTTCCTCTGTGGCCACCTAGGGCCAGATCTGTCTCTCCTTCTCTGTATCTCTTTCAAACAAAATAAATAAATATTAAAAAAAAGCATTAAACCGGATTCTGTCCCGGTTGCCCCTCTTCCAGGTCAGCTCTCTGCTGTGGCCAGGGAGTGCAGTGGAGGATGGCCCAAGTGCTTGGGCCCTGCACCCCATGGGAGACCAGGAGAAGCACCTGGCTCCTGCCATCGGATCAGCGCGGTGCACGTGCTGGCCACGGTGGCCATTGGAGGGTGAACCAACGGTAAAAGGAAGACCTTTCTCTCTGTCTCTCTCTCTCACTGTCCACTCTGCCTGTCAAAAAAAAAAAAAAAAAAAAAAAAGCATTAAAAATAAAATAAAATAAGGGTGAGTGTTGTGGTGCAACAGGTGAAGCCACTGCTTGGGAAGGTCTCATCACCTGTCGGAATGGCTGGGATCAAGTCCCGGCTCTACCTTGGCTTTTAAGAGTTATTTATTTTTCCTATTTGAAAGTCAGAGTTACACACAGAGAGGAGAGGCAGAGAGAGAGAGAGAGAGAGAGAGAGAGAGAGAGAGGTCTTCCATCCGTTGGTTCACTCTCCCAGATGGCCACAATGGTCAGAACTTCGCCAATCCGAAGCCAGGAGCTTCCTCCAGGTCTTCCATGTGGGTACACGGCCCCAAGGACTTGGGCCATCTTCTACTGCTTTCCCAGGCCATAGCAAAGAGCTGGATCGGAGTAGCCGGGTCTCCAACCGCTGCCCATATAGGATGCTGGCACTTCAGGCCAGGGTGTTAACCCCGCTGCGCCACAGCGCCGGCCCCTACCTTGGTTTTTGATCCAGCTTCCTGCTAATGTGCCTGGGAGGCAGCACGTGACGGTGGGTCAAGTACTGAGCCCCAGCCACCCATGTGGGAGACCTGGATGGAGTTCTGGGCTCCTGGCTTCAGCTTTGCCCAACCCCAGCTGTTTTAGGCATTTGGGGAGCAAAAATGGCAGATGGAAGCTCTATGATGTTCAAATAAATAAAAATGAGTACATAAGAAAAAATAGGAAAATACATAGTTTGCACGGGAGGATTCAATATCTTAAAGACAGCATTTAATCTTAATTGAATTAATTTAGTTCATTAATTTTAATATGATCCTAATAAAAAGGTTTTGTTTGAAATAAGCTGATTTTGAAGCTGATGTATTCACTTAGTGGACCAAAAAGCCAGAAATATTCTGCTAAAAGAAGATGGGTGCCGGTTTGTGTCCCAGCTGTGTGTGTGTTTTTTTTTTAAGATTTTATTTATTTGAGGTAAAGTTACAGACAGTGAGAGGGAGAGACAGAGAAGAGAGGTCTTCCACCCACTGGTTCGCTCTCCATATGGCTGCAATGGCCGGAACTGCACCAATCAGAAGCCAGGAGCTTCTTCTGGGTCTCCCACGTGGGTGCAGGGGCCCAAGAACTTGGGCCATCTTCTGATGCTCTCCCAGGCCAGAGCAGAGCTGGATTGGAAGAGGAGCAGCTGGGAATAGAACCGGCGCCCATATGGGATGCCAGTGCCACAGGGGGAGGATTAACCTGTTGTGCCACGGCGCTGCCCATCCCCCCCTCCAGCTGTTTCACTTTTGATCCAGCTCTCTGCTATGGCCTGGGAAAGCAGCAGAAGAGGGCCCAAGTGCTTGGGCCCTGCACCCACGTGGGAGAGCGGGAAGAAGCTCCTAGCTCCAGCACCAGCCATTGGGCCATCTGGAGAGTGAACCAGAGGATGGAAGCTCCCTCTCTAACTCTGACTTTCAAATAAATAAACCTTTGGGGGAAAAAAAAAAGGAAAATAGGAAACAAAGACTAAAATTTCCATGCCTAAAGGCTTTCAGAAAAGCCAAGGACAAATGATAAACTGGAAAGAAAAAAAAACTTTTTTTTGGTAATTAATAAGCTATTATCATACTTCATTCATATCACTAATAAGTAAATAGCTATGACAGTCAATAAAGAACAAAATTATCCACCAAAGAAATGGATAAAGGATGTGATCAGGAGATTCACAGAAAAGGAAATTTATAAAGGATCTTCACAAAGTTCATGGAAAATATGGTATTAAAAAATGCATGGATTTCAATTTTGCATCAAAATAAACTTATCTTTTAATTCCATTTTCAAGTACTGAGCCCTTGCTCCCACATGGGAAACCCGGATGGAGTTCTGGGTTCCTGGCTTCCTTGTATATAATTCTTACTGAAAAAAATATTTTTAGCTTCACTCAGAAAAGCAAATTTAAACTGACACACACCAGTTTCAACGATCAAACAGGCAGGATCTGGATCTCTGGTGGTGATGTAATGTGTTGGCCGTCAGTTGCCAGTGGGCGCATACAGTGATACAGGGATAGAAGGCAACTTAGCAATACCTACAAACTCCTCCCGAGTACTGCTGTCCCGGAATCTTCACTTCTGGGATTCCATCCTACAAGTTTGTAGCAAAGAATCCAAGACCCGGCACCCACCACTAGTTACAAACCCAGGTTTCTGTGTGTGTGCGCCCGCGGACACCAGGGAGGACGGCGCTGCGGCCCCCAGCAGGGCCGCGGTGGGGAGGGGGCGAGGCTGGAGACCCGGCCACTGCGCACGCATCCCCGAGCACGGGGCTCTCCACGGATCTCAGAAAGGAAATGAGAGACAAAGCCCAGAAACCTGGTGTTTCCGAAAACACAATTTATCACGTAATATATATACACACACACACACACACACACGCACACGACTTCCCTGGCTCGCCGTTGGAAACGGCGCTGGAGCCGCGGAACCCCTCGCCCACGAGATGCTTCTGCAGAACAGGACCCGGGGAGCGAGCACCCGCGACCCCTGCAGTTCCTTCCAGTCCTCCCAACCCACCCCCGAGTCCCAGCCGTCGAGGGCCACGCGGAGGCGGAGCCGGGGGGCGGGGGCGGGGGTGCACCTTGCACCCTGCCCGGGCCGGCGATGCCGCTTGCTCTCTCCGGTGCTTCCTCGCTCTCCAAGCGCGCCCGGACTTCTCCCCTTGCACTTTTTAACTTTTTATTTTATTTTTTTAGCACTCCAGGCTGCAGGCGGGACGGCAGCGGCGCCCCCGCACCCCCACTACTCCCTGCTGAGAAACTTGTCGCACCCCAGTTCTTCGATGAGGGGGTTGATCACCTCGGACGCAGTCAGAGCTATGGTAAACGTCAAGACGTCGAAGTCCATCCTCTGGGGGTTGCGCTGGTACTCGGCGTCGAAGGCCGCCTCCCGCGCCCGGCAGGCCTCCACGAAGCGCCGCCGGCGCTCCTCCAGCTCCTGGATCCGGCCCGGCGCGATCGGGTAGTTCTCCAGGTAGTGGCGGAGGAACTGCTGGTAGTTGACGCCCAGCACGCTGAGCGGGTGCCGGAGGCGCAGGTACGGCAGGGCGGCCAGCGCTCCCGCGGGGCCGGCCCGCGACCGGGGCCTGCCCTCGGGGCCCTCGTCGTCCAGCGGCTCGCCTAGCAGCCGCGCCACCTCCGCCATGCGGGCCTCCCGGGCCGCCGCCGCCGCCGCGGGGCCTCCTCGGACGGCAGCCGCCCGGCCTCCCCGCGCCGCCGCCGCCATCGCGCCTTCCCGGGCCTCCTCAGGCTGCGCCGGCTGCCGCCTCCCGCCGCCTCCCTCCGCCCGCGGGACGCCGCTCGCCGCACCTGCCTGCGGGACGCCGCACTCTGCGGGCAGCCGGGACATGTCGGGGGGCAGGGGCGGCTCGCACCACAGCCGGAGCTCCCCGACCGCGCGACGAGGGGCGTGCGCACCGCGCCGTGTGCATGGGCGCAGTGCGCACGGGGAGACGCCGTGGGCACCCACGCGTGCGCAAGCGTCGTCGGCTCCGCGGCCGGACCCGAGAGCGGCGCGCACGCGTAGTGGCGCGGTGCCCGCGGGCCTCCGCTGCCGCCTAGCGGTCGGGAGCGCCAACGCAGCGGGAAAGAGCTGCCATCTCCTGTCCAGGCATTTCTCGCTTCCACCCGTGTCGCGTTTACAAAGTCTTAACGCGAGCGCTTGCTGTAGGCACTCCAAGCTTCCGTCCTGGGACGCGTCTTCCTGAGTTCTTTGCTCTTCCGTGGCTATGATGCCTCCTGTATCACATACCAGGATAGTCCGGATTTTTGTTTTTGTTTTTTCATTCTTTCCCGTTCATTCGCCTACATTGACCCATCCCCATGGTCCTAGGTACCACAGCTTTATGATACTAGTCCCTTCTTGTTATGTTAAAGTTGCTTTCGCTACTCTTGCACATTTCTTTTTCAAAACCTTGTTTGTACACTATAACACCAGATTATAACACACAGCTGAATGATTTTTCATAAAGGGAGCATCCATCTATCACTTAAGCCAAGAACCCTCCCCCTCCCTCTTCCTCCTCCTCCTCTTCTTTTTCCTTCTAAATGTTAAGTTTTATTTCAATAACCTCCATTGAGGCAGAGGGGGTCAAATTGCTATCCCTTCCTTCTACTGCCTTTAACCGGCGACGGAGATGGAGATGGTGGGGGGCTTTATTGCTTCATTCCTTCCTAAAGATTTATTTATTCGAAAGGCAGAGTGACAGATAGAGAGATAGAGATAGAGATAGAGAGATAGAGAGAGAGAGAGAGAGAGAGAGAGGTCTTCATTCACTGGTTCACTTCCCAAAGCGCAACCTTTGGGACCAGGCCAGGCCAAAGCCAGGAACTGCATCTGGTCTCCCACAGGGGTGGCCGGGGCCGTCTGCTGCTGCATTAGCAGGGAGCTGGCCTGGAAGTGGAGCCAGCACTCGCAGGGGTTGCAGGCGGTGGCTTGCTTGGTTGCGCCACAACACCAGCCCGGCAGGCATTCTCCATAGTTTCCTGTGGGACAGGGCCACAGCCCAGAGGCTGCTGTTTGAACTCAGACCTGCATGACAGCCAGCCCCGGCATGAAGGCCTCTAGGTCACCTTCAGTGTCCTTGTCGCTGTCCATCGTGTCACATGTCCCATCCACAGGTCGCAGGGCTGCCCTCTCTCTGTCCTGCTCACCAAGCACCCAGTCTGCTGGGCTCCTGGCTGCTTCAGACTCAGCCTCCCACCAGCGTCTCTGCAGACGCTGTGTGCCTGGTCTCTCAAGGCAGCTCCCAGCGAGGCTGGTGGCGGCAGGTCTGTGGTCCCCACCCGCGGGCTGCCGGCACGACAACCATGCTTGCGGTGGGGCTCCCAGACCCAGGGAGTAGCGGGAAGGCCCAGTAAGCTGTTGCAGTGGTACAGGAGCAGATGTAATGCTGGTCTTTGGAGACTGAAAATTGCTCTCCCGTAGAAGCTGGCAGGTCCTCCTCTTGTCCAGCTCTCGGGAAAAGCGCGGCTTAGTTCCCAGAAGGGATGGGAGACTCGTCCTGGGAGAGGGAAGGGAGCCCCCTAAGAACCGCCAACAGAGGAAGGCAGGACACTCATCGGGGGTGGGGGAGCAGGGACAGAAAGCAAACCCCGAGACTTCAGGGTCGTCCGCTCCAGGCTGTGCCATCCGTGTGGCTCCCTGCCAGCCCTTCAGGATCTTTTGAAGACTTTAAAGATTTATTTATTTATGTAAAGGGCAGAATGAGAGAGAGAGAGAGAGAGAGAGAGAGAGAGAGAGAGAGAGGAGATATCTTCCATCTGCTCCTTCATTCACCAACGGCCATAATGGCTGTGGCTGAGCCAGGCCAAAGCCAGGAGGCAGGAGGCAGGAGAGGCAGGAGCTTCCTTCAGGTCTCCCCTGTGGGTGCAGGGGCCCAAGCACTTGGGCCATCTTCCGCTGCTTTCCCTGGCATATTAGTAGGGAGCTGGGTGGGAAGTGAAGCAGTTGGGACTCAAACCGGTGCTCATACGGGATGCTGGGATTGAAGGCAGCGGCTTCACCCATCAGGCCACAGCTCTGGCCCCTACATACATTTCACTAGATTACTAGTTACTAACATTTTGTATCATTTGTTCTCTCTCTCTCTCTCATATAGACTTTTTTAAAAAAGACTTATTTATTTACTTGAAAGTCAGAGTTATACAGAGAGAGGAGAGGCAGAGAGAGAGAGAGAGGGAGAGAGAGAAAGAGAGAGAGAGAGAGAGAGAGAGAGAGAGAGAGAGAGAGCGGTTTTCCATCTGCTGGCTCACTCCCCAATTGGCTGCAATGGCCAGAGCTGTGCCAATCTGAAGCCAGGAGCCAGGAGCTTCTTTGAGGTCTCCCACATGGGAGGAGGGGCCCAAGGGCTCAGGCCATCTTCCATTGCTTTCCTAGGCAATAGCAGAGAGCTGGATCAGAAGTGGAGCAGCCGGGTCTCGAACCGGTGCCCATATGGGATGCCAGAACTGCACACGGCAGCTTTATCTGCGATGCCACAGTGCTGGCCCCTCATATACAGACTTCTGCTGAACCATGTGAGAGATGGAGACACTGACTGTCATCCTTAAGTGTTTCACCATGAGTCTTCTAAGAGCAAAGACTTTCTTCTACCTAATAACAATGTCACACCCAACTTGAAATATGATATTCTGATATTAATAGTGTCATGTAACTTATAGCCAATAAATGGAAAAATAAAAAGATAAGTTAGTTTCAAAAAAATTCCTGCAGTTTCGATTTCCATAGTTTGTTACCTACAGCCAGCCCAGGTCCGAAAACTTTAGGTGGGAAATTCCAGAAATGAGTCGTAAGTTTTCAATTGCGTTGTCATTCTGAGAGGAGGAGAATCTGTACTCTGAGACTCCGAGAACCGTTGTGCAGAATCGATATCCCAGGCAGAAACCTGGAGAACGGAAGGCCCTCGCTTCTGCCGCCACCATCCGTGGGTCCATCTTTTGCCCACTAGAGGGCAGCCACGACAAAGTCTTGCTAAACTTCCAAATTTGCAATCTCGGATACCCGAGTTTGCTTTTCCCTAATTTTTATTTATTTGAAAGGCAGAAACACACACACACACACACATACACAGACAAAGAGAGAGGGAGAAACATAGAAACAGATACAAAGAGATCTATCCACTGGTTCACGCCCCAAATGCCTTAGAGATACAGAGGCTGGGCCAGGCCAAAACCTTGAGCTAGAAACTCTTCCAGTGGATGGCAGGGACCTGGCTACTTGAACCATCACCCGGCAGGAAGCTGGAGTCAGGTGCAGAGCTGGGACTTGAACCCAGGCACTCTGAAATGTCCCAAACGGCATCCCAAGTGCAATGCCAAACGCCCACCACGTCTTCACGCCCCATTCACCTTTCTGTGAGTGCTGTTTCGGAGTTTGCTATTTGGAGCAGTTTATTAAGTACGTTCCCCTGGTGGCAACTTGTCAAGTGGGGGTCTCCTCTGGAGGTGTGTGTGTGTGTGTGTGTGTGTTCTGAGGGAGTTGGCTTGTGGCTGCTTTTCTTTTCTTTTCTTTCTTTTTTTTTTTTTGACATGCAGAGTGGACAGTGAGAGAGAGAGAGAGAGAGAGAGAGAAAGGTCTTCCTTTGCCGTTGGTTCACCCTCCAATGGCCGCCGCGGCCGGCGCACCGCGCTGATCCGATGGCAGGAGCCAGGTGCTTCTCCTGGTCTCCCATGGGGTGCAGGGCCCAAGCACCTGGGCCATCCTCCACTGCACTCCCTGGCCACAGCAGAGAGCTGGCCTGGAAGAGGGGCAACCGGGACAGAATCCGGCACCCCGACTGGGACTAGAACCCGGTGTGCCGGCGCCGTAAGGCGGAGGATTAGCCTAGTGAGCCGCGGCGCCGGCCTGCTTTTCTTTTCTAATTAATTTGAAAAGCAGAATTAGAGAGGAGAGAGAAAGAGAGAGAGAGAGAGGAGAGAGAGAGAGAGAGAAAGAGAGAGAAAGAGAGAGAAAGAGAGAGAGAGAGAGAGAGAGAGAGAGAGAAAGAATGTATCTTCCAGTCCCCCTGGACTTGGACCTGAAGGTCTCCATTCTGCATCGACCGGCACTGACTTCTAACAAGTCACACACACAGGGAAACCTTTGTGTCCACACCTTCCCCCGTTTCTGTTCACCGATACAAATGAAGCTGGGCTTATTCGTTCTGCTGGGTCAGCTAAGATTAGGCTGCACTCTGGTGCTGGCTGTTTTCCCCAGCTACCTCCACGGAAACACCATCAACTCTGCAGTAAGTTATTCTCTTAACCCACTGGTTCTCAGTAAGAGTTACTGAGGGAAGCTGGCATCGTGGTGCAGAGGGCTAAGCCACTGCCTGCGAGGTGGCATCCCATATGAGTCCTGGCTGCTCCACTGCCGGCCGGCCCCTTGCTGATGCACCTGGGAAAGCAGCTGAAGACGGCCCAGTGCTTGGGCCCCTCCCTCCCGAGAGGAAGACCCAGGTGAAGCTCCTGGCTTTGGCCTGGCCCAGCCCCGGCCATTGTAGCCATCTGGAGGGTGGATCATTGGAAGAAGATCTTGCTCTGTGAGTCTCTCCTTCTCTCTGTAACTCTTCCTATCAAATACATAAGTAAAAGAAGAGTTACTGAGCTGTTGAAAATCCACTGCTGCCAATCTCACCTGGAGACTCTGACTCCACTGTTGTCAGACAACCTGACACTGGGCTTTTCAAGAGCTCCCAGGTGACTAAAGGTGGCTGGGGTTGGGGGGGAGGGGGCGGTTAGGTGGGGTAGGGGTGGTGGGGAGTGGATCAGTGTAACCCTCGCAATAGTCCCATAATTCTGATTTGACAGCCAGTGAGAGTGCCTGCTCACCTGTTCGGGACCATAGCTATGTCTTCTTTATTTCTGATTGTCCCTAAGCCCTCTTTATTTATTTACAGATTTACTTATTTACTTGAAAGGTGGAGTTACAGAGAGAGAAGGAGAGATAGAGAACTCCCATCTGCTGATTCACTCCCCAGATAGCCTCAGTGGCTCGGCTGGTCCATGCTGAAGCCAGGAGCCTGGAGCTCCCTCTGGATCTTCCACATGGGTGGCAGAGGCCCAAGCACTCAAGCCATCCTCTGCTGCCTTCCCAGGCACATTGGCAGAGAGCTGGGTTGGAAGTGGAGCAGCCAGGACTCGAACCAGTGCTCCAACGAGGCATGAGGGCATCAGAGGCAGGAGCTTAGCTCCCTGTGCCACAGCATCTGCCCCTGGAGTTCTGAGGTCTTTTTTTAAAGACTTTATTTATCTGAAAGGCAGTTAGAGAGAGGCAGAGAGAGAGAGAGAGAGAGAGAGAGAGAGAGGTGTTCCATCTGCTAGTTCACTCCTCAGATGGCCGCAACAGCCGGAGATGGGCCGATCCAAAGCCAGGAGCCAGGAGCCACTTCCAGGTCTCCCACACAAGTGCAGGGGCCCAAGCACTTGGGCCATCATCTCCTGCTTTCCCAGGCCACAGCAGAGAGCTGGATTGGAAGTGGAGCAGCTGGGACTCAGTCAGTGCCCACATGGGATGCCAGCACTGCAAGTGGCGGCTTTACCTGTTATGCCACAGTGCCGGCCCCTCTGAGGTATTTTTAAGGAGGAGTCTGGCAGGGATTCTTCCCATCACTCCCTCCACAGCTGCCCTGTCCTCAGAGCCTCTAGTGAGCTGACGGCTTTCCCAGTAAGCCTCCTCTAGCGTCAGTCATACAAGTACTTCCTTTAAGAAATACTTCTAGGGCTCCAGGTGGTCTGAAGCCACTGCCGCTGGGGACCAGACAGGACGGCCCGAGGGCTCTGACCAGCCCTTGCTCCTGGGAACCGGAAGCCCAAGGGTCACCTTAAGCCCCGGTCTCTCCCTCATTCTCCATGAGATGATGTGGGTACTGGCATCTCAGCCCAGAGAGAGCAGAGGCCACTCGGCATGGCTGCATTGCCAGGGCGACGACCATCCCTGGCGTGACTGGAGCCGAGCAAGTCGGGGAGGTGTGACAGAACTGGGTCAGAGATGGGCATGGCCGCTTCTGCTTCCTTTGGAGCTGTTCACCCAAGCCTGGCCAAAGCAGGTGCGACTCATCCATATGCTCTCCTTCCCCCGTAGCCAGGGCCCCGAAACAGGCGCACACGGCGGTTTTCCCTTCCAGGGCATGGCAGGAGGCAGTGAGGACCGTACAGCCGCTTACCCGGCCAAGGAGTCAAAGAACCGCCTCTGCTCCCTGCTTTCCCAAGGGCTGCCTGCTTCTGGTCTCTGCATCTGCTGCTGGCCGCCCTGCCTGCTTCACAGCCCACCACACTCTGCCTGTGCTCACGACTCCGTGTGGGGACAGGCGTGGGCATCTCCCCCCAAGGCTGAGCCTGGCACTCAGAGGTAAACTGAGTTCAGGCTGCCAACACCATCGGAACGGAGCAGAGCGTAGCTGTCGGCCCAGCCTGCTAATCCGTGTGGGAGCCCAGAACTTGGCCCTTTTTTTTTTCTCCCTCATAAACCTCCACGGCTTGTATTTCCTACCCTACACAGCGCTGTGCCAGTGATGCGGCAGCAGAAAAACAAACGAAGAGAGAGAACAATAGAAGTCCCGAGAAAAAAGGCCAGGGCCACATCCTGCCAGTGTCAGCACCAGGGTTTGAGTCCACGCTCTTGCCCACCCCGCTCCATTCTGCGCCCAACCTGACCCCCAGGGCCGCCCCTCTGGCCTCAAGGGCTCACTCTCCCGAGCGAGGAGGAGTGGGCATGGCGGGGAGGGTCCAGGATGCCGCCAGCTGGGCCGTGGGAGTTGTCTCACCTTCACTCACATCAGTGTTTTCTACAAGAAAATGCTCTCAAGCAACCCAACTGGCAATTAAGTGGCTTAAATTAGAGAAATCAAAGTTCCCAACATTCTTCACGCTTGTTTGGCAGTGAGAATCTCTTCCTCTAGGACTGACCTCGCTCCTGAGGGGCGGGGCAGAGTCCTGCCCGGTGTGTGGCCTCCCCGAGGCCCCTCCCTCAGTAACTTGGAGAAGACAGACCCCAGGCTGTTTTGCACCATTTCCTGCTCTGACAATGCTGGTGGACCCCTACAGGTTAGTTTCTTTGGGTTTCAATTAAAATCCAACTTGGAGGAGAAATCAAAATGGGCATGATGCTAGAGAGCGCTCCATGCTACCTGCTGGCTCTAGCCTGGCCAGAGCCCTCTGCTACCAGGAGGCCGCGCGACAGGCAGGTGGTGATTAACAGAAACCACTCCAGAGGGCTCACAAGGGAATCCTGCCAGGTCCCCAGATGACGGTTTCGGCCGCATCCGTCAGCTTCTGCCGCGGTAAATAACATCACCAAAATCTAACGGTTCATGACGGTGTTTATTTTTCACATGCAGTACACATCCGCTCCAGGCCAGCTGTGGCTCTGCGCCGCTCCCGCTCATGCGACTCATTTCAGGATTGCCTGTGACTCGATGTGCCAGGCGGGGACACCTCACGCTCAGGCAAGAGGGAAAACAAGCGGAGGCACAGTGCAGTGCTCTTCAAGCCACCGCTGGGAAGCAACGCCCACCACTGCTGTTCATGGTTCCCCAGGCAGCTGGTGGTGAGTGGCCACGCCCAGTGCCGACGCCTGGAAGTACATCTCTTGGAAGCAATAACATAATATACCTCCTCAACACAGGGAAAGCCGTATAAACAATTCATGGAATGTCTGCGTTCTTTGAATACAGTCGAGTTTAGCAACAATTTAAAAGCAGACAAATGGCCGGCACCGTGGCTCAATAGGCTAATCCTCTGCCTTGCAGTGCCGGCACACGGGGTTCTAGTCCCAGTCGGGGAGCCGGATTCTATCCCGGTTGTCCCTCTTCCAGGCCAGCTCTCTGCTATGGCCCGGGAGTGCAGTGGAGGATGGCCCAAGTGCTTGGGCCCTGCAGCCCACGGGAGACCAGGATAAGTACCTGGCTCCTGCCATCAGATCAGGGCGGTGCACTGGCCGCGGCCATTGGAGGGTGAACCAACGGCAAAAGGAAGACCTTTCTCTCTGTCTCTCTCTCTCACTGTCCACTCTGCCTGTAAAAAAAAAAAAAAAAAAAAGGCACACAAAGACCTCACAGTACAGCACACAGCAATCTTGTTTTGAGCACCGACACACAAACTCCATGGGGAATATATATGAACAGCATCAGTAGCACATTCAAACAATAATGCATTCTAACCAGGCTGGTTCATTTCCTGGATAACGCGGTATTACAAGATTCTGTGAGTTAATTATAGTCGTTCAGTTTAATAAAAATCAGTTATCTCTCTAAAAAAAAATTCAACAACCTTTCCAGATAAAATCTAAAATATATTTAAAAGAAAACAATAGAAAATGCCCTTACTTGGTAAACCATAACTAAACAAGTTGGAAAGTCAACATCTATACTAGACAGAGTTCGCTAAAAGGGTTCTCTCTACATGGGGGAATGGGAATTATACTAAAAGGATTTTCTCTAAAAGGGGAAATGGGAGCTATGCTAAAAGGGGGATTCGGGAGTTATGTATGCTAAAAGGATTCTCTCTACAAAGGGGGAAGGGCAGTAATGCTGGAGCCAGCATTGTGGTACAGGGGAGTAAGATTCTGCTTGCGATGCGGCATCCCATATTGGAGTGCTGATTAGCGTCCCAGCTGCTGGGCTTCTGATCCAGCTTCCTGCTAACGTGCCTCAGAAGGCAATGCAAGATAGCCTGAACACTGGCTCAATCCACCACAGTACAACCAAGGACTGCAACAGCACCCCTTTGTACAAGGTAATTCTATGTACATATTTACACGGGTCTCTAGGTTCCAACACTAAGAAATCAAGGCATATATACACACGTACATTATCTGTGTAGAGGGGAAAACCGATATTCATAAACGAGGTGGTGGGTCTACCTGCGGAGGTGTGGTGGGCACTGGGTGGCCAGGGAACATGCAGGGAAGACTCCTCACTGCACCTGTTATACCTTTCAAACCCTGTGAAAGCATTACCTAGTCAACAACGAAGGCATTTAAAATATGAAGCACACGCATCCTTCCCAGGTGTGTGTCCCGAAGACACACAATCTATGAAGCGGCCCTTTCCACTCTGATTCCACTTGGGGACACACACCATCTTCGCGCCATGGAGCCTTTGCTGCCGATCGCACGAAGGGATGGATTACCAACGCTGAACCCCTACCGGTCCTCCTCCGTCATCCAGTCCTAACCGTCCAGCTCCGAGATTAGAAACTTGGGTCTTTCGTCTTCTCGGTCAGCATTAGTGGGCTCTACCACAGGCAAGCCGTTCGCACTTCATTTTTGCAAAAAGCAGCCGATGCAGTGAGGCAAACAAAAACGCTAGTTTCTACGATGCCAGGGGGGCGGCGGTGACACGCGTGGGGATCCTTCTGCAGACGGAAACGTCTCTCTCCTTTTCTCTGGCTCCCCGACGAGTCCTCCTCCAACCATGCAACAACCGTTCTAGTCTCCCCTCCTGCATGACAACGAATTTTTTTTTTAAATTTCCAAAATAAGAATACTCTAGCTGTCGGATTGCCAAGCGATTCCATCTCCAGGGGGCTCCACAGGGAACGGCAGGTTTTTCTGGAAATGGCTGCCTCCGGGAGCTACTCTCTGTCTTTCAACCTGTCGCAGCCGAGCTCCGCGGCCAGGCGACTGAGGGCCACCGACGCAAAGAGGTCTTCGATGAACGTGAAATAATCCAGGTAGACGTTGGGGTAGCGCGTCTGCCAGCGGGCGTCGCGGGCCACCTCCCTCGCCCGGCACGCATCCATGAACACCCAGCTGGGCTCGTCCAGCCCCCGCAACCGGCTGCCGTGCGCGTGCGGCACCTCCTCCCCGAACGGCGGCTGCGCTCGCCCCCACTCAGCCCCAAAGGCCTCGGGCTCGCGCTCGTGCCGGGAGAAGGCGGCCGCGCCCATGCAGATCTCCCGCAGGAAGCGGGCCCTGGACCGGCTCTCGGGGCTCTCCTCCGGGCGCCGCGCGGCCATCGCGCCCGAGGCCGACTCCGCAGGCTGCGCCACGGCCGGCTCCAGGCTCCCGCCGCTTACCTCCGCCGGCGGGGCGTCGTCGCCGCCAGCAGCTGCACGGCGCTGCGGGACACGGCCGCCGGCGGGGAGCTCGGACATCTTGCACCACCGCGCTGGGAACGCAGCGCCCGCAAGCGCCGGAAATGACCGGACTGCGCTCGCCGGCGCATGCGCGCGCGCACTGCCGTGTGGGCGGGCGCTTTTCTTTTCTTTTTTCTTTTTAACCCCTTGTACTCCAGTGGTGCTTTGCAGGCGAGGGAGGCACCTTGTGGGAGGCTTGAGTCTGGCGAAAGTCGCCCTAGTCCCAAGCCGCTTCTTGTTTTAAAATGCAGTCCTGTTGTTCTTTGTCAGACACACCCACACGGTCACGTCTTGGGCCCTGTCTTGTCTTAAAAAGCTGGGCAATTGCCGGCGCCGCGGCTCACTAGGCTAATCCTCCGCCTGCGGCGCTGGCACACCGGGTTCTAGTCCCGGTCGGGGCGCCGGATTCTCTCCCGGTTGCTCCTCTTCCAGGCCAGCTCTCTGCTGTGGCCCGGGAGTGCAGTGGAGGATGGCCCAAGTACTTGGGCCCTGCACCCCATGGGAGACCAAAAGTACCTGGCTCCTGCCATCGGATCAGCGCGGTGCGCCGGCCGCGGCGGCCATTGGAGGGTGAACCAACGGCAAAGGAAGACCTTTCTCTCTGTCTCTCTCTCTCTCACTGTCCACTCTGCTTGTCAAAACAAAACAAAACAAAAAGGCGCTGGAAATCTGGAATTATTCTCCGGCGGCTGCTGTGTGTCACCTAGTGGCCCTCCCCAATCCCTTCTTGATTTTTTTCCTTTATATCTCCTCCCCCTCATCCTCTCCCCTGTGCCACTTCGGCTACCCTTACTCCCACTGCTTTATGTTTTTTTTTCCAAAGATGTATGAATTTATTCAAAGACGTATTTTGTTTGTTTGAAAGGTGGAGAGACAGAGAAAGAAATCTTCCGTCAGTTGGTTCACTCCTCAGATGGCGGCAGCTGCCGAAGGCGGGAGCCCTGGGCTGCATCCGGGCCTCCCACAAGGACCCGCATCTGTGTCCGACACGTGGGCTGCATCCGGGCCTCCCACGAGGACCCGCATCTGTGTCCGACACGTGGGCTGCATCCGGGACTCCCACGAGGGCTGCATCCGGGTCTCCCTCGTGCGCGGCCGGCCCAGCGCGGGATCTTCCTCAGGATCGGAAGCCGGGCCACCGGCGCTCAGGGCGTCGCAGGTGACTGACCCGCTCCTGCCCGCTTCCTGCCCCTTTCCCCCTGCTCCTCCTCCCGCTTCTTTCCTCCCGGCGGCCCGGGCCTCAGGCTGCCTTCTGTCGCCCTCCTCCCGCTGGTTTGTCTCAGAGTTCCAGCCCCGGCTGCTTCGAGCTTCCGGAGCTTGCGTCTTCCACACTGGGTAATGCCAGCTGCAGGCTTTCGCCTCTGGCTCCCGGCTCCCTTCTGCCACGTGGATTTATGTGCCGATCTACACCACGGCGAGTTGTCTCACTACAATATACACCTGACGCACTTTAACACGTGATTAAAAAAAAAGATTTGTTTATTTGAGAGGTAGTTACAGAGAGAGAGAGGTCTTCGTCCCCTGCTTCCTTCCCCGATTGGCCACACGCTGGAGCTGCGCCGATCCGAAGCCAGGAGCCAGGAGCTTCTCCCCGGTCTCCCACGCGGGTGCAGGGGCCCAAGCACGTGGGCCGTCTTCTCCTGCTTTCCCAGGTGCATTAGGGAGCTGGATCGGAAGTGGAGCGCCAGGACTCAGAGTGGTGCCCTGATATGGACCTAAGCGGCAGCTTAACCCCCCGTGCCACAGTGAGACTCCCCATTTTTGTGTTTTCGCTTCTTGTTGCACAGGAAATGCTGTCTCCCTCCTCCCAGCACCGACCTTCACGACTGTCTGGCAATTATTGCCCGCTTAGCAAAACCCGTAACTTAGGTGAAGTAAATCTGGATCCCTAATCTGACCTCACCCTCTGTGGGTGCATCCTGTGAGGAAGGTTTAGATTGGAAACTTGGCACTTGGCTCTTCTGGGCGTGCAGCAAGCTCACCCGTGCCCTCTTACTCTGGCCATGCACAGAAGCCATTGTTCTCACCTCAACCCCAGCTCATGTGCGTGATTCTCCGAGACTAGCAACACATTACTGCCTCTAGATACGCCTTGGAGGTAGTCTGTAATTAATTACAAAGGAGACTTCAAACAGCTTGTGGCAAATGGAATTAAAAGTAGTTTATCTGGGGCTGGGGCTGTGGTGTAGTGGGTAAAGCCGCCGCTTGTGAAGTCGGCATCTCTTATGGGTGCTGGTTTGTGTTTCAGCTGCTCTGCTTCTGATCCAGCTCCCTGCTAATGGCCCGGGGAAAGCAGCAGAAGATGGCCCAGGTGCTTGGGCTCCTGCTACCTTCATGGGAGACCCAGAGGGAGCCCCAGGCTCCTGGCTTCAGCCTGGCCCAGCTCTCGCTGTTGCGACCATCTAGGGAGTGAAGCAGCAGATGGACAATCTCTCTCCATCTGTCTCTCTCTCTTTACAACTCTGACTTTCAAATGAATAGGGGCCGGCACTGTGTTGTAGCGGGTAACGCTGCCACCTGCAGTGCCAGTGTCCCATATGGGTGCTGATTTGAGTCTTGGCCACTCCACTTTTGATCCAGCTCTCTGCTATGACCTGGGAAAGCAGTAGAAGATGGCCCAAGGGCTTGGGGCCCTGCACCCACATGGGAGGCCCAGAAGAAGCCATGGGAGACCCAGAAGAAGTCTTCAGCTTGGTCCAGCCCTGGCCATTGCAGCCATTTGGAGAGTGAACCAGTGGATCAAAGATCTCTCTCTCTCTCTGTCTCTCCATTCTCTCTGTAACTCTGACTTTCAAATAAATAAATAAATAAATATTTTAAAAATAAATAAATGAAATCTTAAAACTAGTAGGGTCAGGACTTTTGGAGTCAGGATTCAAACTCAGGCATTCCTGTCTAGCTTCCCAAGCTGCTCTTAATTGCTGCCTGTTTTTAAAGATCATGTGGGTGAAGGGTCCCAAGAACCTGAGCCATCTTCCACTGCCTTCCCAGGCTCTTTAGCAGGGAGTGGATCTGAAGTGAAGTAGAAGAGACTCTATTTTTTTTATTTTTATTTTTTTTGACAGGCAGAGTGGACAGTGAGAGAGAGAGACAGAGAGAAAGGTCTTCCTTTGCCGTTGGTTCACCCTCCAATGGCCACTGCGGCCGGCGCACCGCGCTGATCCGATGGCAGGAGCCAGGAGCCAGGTGCTTTTCCTGGTCTCCCATGGGGTGCAGGGCCCAAGCACTTGGGCCATCCTCCACTGCACTCCCTGGCCACAGCAGAGGGCTGGCCTGGAAGAGGGGCAACCAGGACAGAATCCGGCGCCCCAACCGGGACTAGAACCTGGTGTGCTGGTGCCGCAAGGTGGAGGATTAGCCTAGTGAGCCGCGGCGCCGGCCCTAGAAGAGGCTCTAATAGGCCCTCTGATATGGGATGCCAGTGCCACAGACAGCAGCCTAATCAGTTGTACAAAACTGCTGGCCCCTGTTTCTTTTTTTTTTTTTTTCTTATTTTTTGGTAGATGAAAATTTTTTTGTCATGGTTAGCTAAACTATTATTAACTTAATATTTGTTAATTAAAAATAAAAAATGGGACCAATGCTGTGGTGTAGCGGTTAAAACTGCCACCTGCTGAACTGGTAGTCCACACGGGTGCCAATTCAAATCCCGCTGCTCCACTTCCGATCCAGCTCCTTGCTAGTGTGCCTGGGAAGGCAGTGGAGGATGGCCCAAGTGCTTGGGCCCTGTGCCCACGCGGGAGACCCAGAAGAAGCTCCTGGCTTTGATTCAGCCCAGCTTCAGGCATTGTGGCTATTTGGGGAGTGAACCAGGGATTGAAAGTTCTCATTCTCTGTCTCTCTCTATATATAAAACATTGATTTCAAATAAATAAATGTGTCTTTAAAAAATTAAATAGGGGCCGGCGCTGTGGCGCAGCAGGTTAAAGCCCTGGCCTGAAGCGCCTGGCATCCCATATGGGCATCGGTTCTAGTCCTGGCTGCTCCTCTTCCAATCCAGCTCTCTGCTATGGCATGGGAAAGCAGTAGAAGATGGCCCAAGCCCTTGGTTCCCTGCACCCACGTGGGAGACCTGGAAGAAGCTCCTGGCTCCTGGCTGCAGATGGGTGCAGCTCTGGCCATTGCAGCCATTTAGGGAGTGAACCAGCGGATGGAAGATCTCTCTCTCTCTCTCTTTCTCTCTCTGCCTCTCCTCTCTTTGTGTAACTGATTTTAGAGTAAATAAATAAAATCCTTTAAAAAATTAAACAAAGTATGCCTAGAACTCAATGTAAATATATCAGATGTTATTGGTAACCTGCTGCTCACAAGTAGCAAGAACCGTGACCATGCTCCTTGCACAAATGGTTTAGGATACAGGGGTTCTTCACAAAGGTCCTGGAAAAGGAATTAAATGATAAATTTATTTTGATGCCAGAAATTTTAAAATTCATGCGCAGTGTTTTTCCTAAGATGCATTTCCATGAACTTTATGAAGTGTCTGTGTATTGCAGCCAAGGCCATAGGTAGCTTTTTCTCTTTCACTGCATTACTCTTGATTTTCTCTCTGCCAATTGGTTTCCTTTGGGACCTCTTTCAAGTATGATTCTTTTCCAAAACCAGGTCCCGTGTTGAGAAGAGAACCTCTGGGAAGCACTGGCTGTCATTTCTACCCAGACTTGGGTGTGGTGCACTCGAGAGCACTTTAGAGGCTCCTCCTTCCCAGTGACTGCAAACGGGACTCAAGGTACAGCACACATGGAGTGGGGGAGGCAGCTGGGTGGGATCACACGAGAGGGCAGGCTTCATCCCCCCCCACCCCTGGTGCAGGAAGAGCTGTCAAGACGGAGAGAAGCTGCTTGTTGCTTTTGGACTTCTGGAGGTGTTGGGGTTTGAATGGGTTTCCCAAAGTTCATGTTGGATGCTTAATCCCCCAACAGAGTAGTGTTGAGAGTCGGGACCTTAAAGAGGTGGTTGGGTGGTGAGGACTCCGCCCTCAGGCCTGGGTTAGTGCTGCTCTTCCACGAGTGGGCTTAGTGTTGAGCGTGCTGCTGGTGAAGAGTGAGTTTGGCCTCCTTTCCTCCTTGCTGTCTCTCCCGTGTGCTGCCTTCTATCAAGTTGTAACAAAGCAAGAAGTACCCCTACTCTTGAGCTTCCTAGTCTCCACACTGCAAGAAATAAATCTCTGTTCTTTATAAAATACTCAATCTGTGATATTCTGTTATAGTAGCACAAAATGGACTAAGATTTTTTTCTATATATTCAATTTAACTTATCTTCTTATATTTTTGTGATACATAATAACATGCCTAAAACATGTGGGATTCAAAGAATAATAAAGGTCATCTATATAACCACCACTCAGGTTTAAAAAGAAAACATTGCTGGGGCCAGCGATGTGGCGTATTGGGTAAAGCCACTGCCTGCAGTGCCAGCATCCCATATGGCCGCCGGTTTGAGTCCCAGCTGCTCCACTTCCCATCCAGCTCTCTGCTATGGTCTGAGAAAGCAGTGGAAGATGGCCCAAGTCCTTGGGCCCCTACATCTGCATGGGAGACCCAGAAGAAGCTCCTGGCTCCTGGCTTTGGATCGGCACAGCTCCGGCCATTGCAGCTATCTGGGGAGTGAACCAGCGGATAGAAGACCTCTCTCTCTCTCCCTCTCTTTTTTTCTCTCTCTGTCTCTGCCTCTCTGTAACTCTGCCTTCAAATAAATAAATCTTTAATAAACAAACAAACAAACAAACAAACATTGCCAGAGCCCTAGCAAGTGCCTTTCCATGTCACAACACTATTTTATTCCCTTCATTTTAAACAATATTCTGACTTTGGGGAAATTTTGCAGTCATGCATCCCTACACATTATAGATCATGCCATTCGCTTTTAAATTTTGCACAAATTGGGAACAGAGCCTGCAGTGCAGTAGGTTAAGTCTCTGCCTGTGGCACCAGCATCCCATATGGGTGCTGGTTCATGTCCCTGCTGCCCCTCTTCCAATCCAGCTCTCTGCTAATGCACCTGAGAAAGCAGTAGAAGATGGCCCAAGTGCTTGGGCCCCTGCACTCACGTGGGAGACTCAGAAGAAGCTCTTGGCTTCTGACTTTGGATCAACTATTGTGTCCATTTGAGGAGTGAACCAGCAGATGGAAGACCTCTCTCTGTCTCTTCCTCTCTCTCTCTCTGTAACTGCCTCTCAAATAAATAAGTACATCTTTACAAAATTTTGCATAAAGTTATACTTTATATATTAGTTTGTGCTTTGCTCTTTTTGTTCTGTATTTTGTTTGTAAAAGTCATTTACATGGCTACATGAAGCTATAGTACTTTTTTGTTGTTATATAGTATTCCATTGTAGGGAAACACTATAATTTATCTATTTTTGATATTTTTTCCTATTTTCTGGCTATTATGAATGATGCTGCTATGGACATGTTAACATTTTCATTAAGGATGTCTAAGTAGTGATGGAAGTTTGAAGTCAAAAGGGACACATATTTTCAACTGTACTAGTTACGTCATTGTTAAGCAGCTGTGTCAGTTTACATTCCCACCTGAGTGTTCCCTTGCCATATATACCAACATTTTTTCAGACATTAAGTTTCTTACTAGTTGGGGGATATAATAACATTTCATTAGGTTTTAACTTCTCCTAGATTACCAATAATGTTCAGCAATATCTTTTGATATTCTTTTTTTGTTTTTGTGAAGTGTCTGTTCAAATCTTTAGCCCATTTAATTAGGTTGTCTGACTTCATTAGTGATTTATAGGAGTTGCAAAAATATATTTTACCTGCTAATCCTTTATTTCATCTTTTAAGTTTTGATACTTATTTAAAATATCCCCCCAAATGAATAAACATTTACTTTAAAATTATTTATTTGAAAAGCAGCACACACATATACATGTACACACAAAACACTCTTCTGCTAGTCCATGCTCCAAATGCACCTGGTATCTGGGGTTGGGGGTGGGGGTGGGTGGAGAGAGAAGGAGAGAGAGAGAGAGAGAGAAAGCAATACAGAGAGAAAACTCTATTTCCCAAATGCCTGAGATGGCCAGGGCAAGGCCAAGGCTGTTGTCAGTAGTTGAACATTCAATCTAGATCTCAAATGTGGGTGACAGGAAGTCCATCACTTCAGCCATAACTGGTGCCTCCCAGGGTCCATGCTAGTAGGAAGCTGGAGTTAAGAGCCAGAGGTTGGTATTGAACCCAGGCACTCCAGTGTGGGATGTTGATGTCCTAACTGGCATCTTAACCACTAAGCTAGACCCTGCCTCAGTTTTGATATTTAGATAATTTGTTATTTTGTTGTTAAAATATTTTAAAATATCATCATTGGTTTCCTCCCAAACCCATGCATTATTTATAAATGTAGGGAACAAAAGCATATTCTAAAAATTTAGAATGTAAATCATTTCAGTGCTTTGAAATTTGTTAATAGTTACTTTATGTTATAGTGTATGGTCAAATTTTGCAAATATTTTATGTATACAAAGAATATATGTATGACTAGCATATAACTGACATGACCAGGCAGCAAGGTTCTGTGTAACTTTTTAGACTTTGTTACTTGTTCAATTATTTTATATTTGTGTATTCTTTACTAATTTTAAACATTTCTTAGAGAGAGAATTGGAGCTCCCCCCACTGGTTTGCTCCTCAAATGCTCCTCAACAGCTGAGACTGGTCCTGGGGCTGTGGCCAGGAACTGGGAACTCAATCCAGGTCTCCTTTGTGGGTGACAGACACCCAACCAGTTGAGCCATCACCTGCTGCCCCCCAGCATCTGCAATGGTGGGAAGCTGGAATTAGGAGTGAGAAATGGAAATCAGACCCAAGCACTCCAATATGGCACATGCATGTCTTAACCACTAGGCCAAATGTTCACCCTGTTCAATCAAACAATTTTCAAGATTTATTTATTTACTTGAAAATCAGAGTTACAGAGAGACAGAGAAGGAGAGATCTTCCATCTGCTGGTTCACTCCCCAAATGACCAGAACAGCCAGGGCTGGGCCAGGCCAAATCCAGGAGCCAGAAGCTTCACCTGGGTCTCCCATATGGGTGATGGGGCCCAAGCACTTGGGCCATTTTCCACATGCTTTTTCCAGGCCATTAGGGAGCTGGATGGGAAGTGGAGCAGCTGGGACAACCTGGTGCCCACATGGGATATGGCATTGGTGGCAGAAGCTTTACCTGCTACACCATACATTTGACTCCCCCATCTATCAGTTTTTAAGGGAAATGTATTAAAAAATTTTCACAGTGATTGTGTGACCCCTCTTCCCCATGGTTGCCTCTACCTCTCAGTGAGGCTTTTGCTAGAAATCACTCTTCATAAATCCCAACCCTGAGGGAAGTGTGACTACTAATTAGGGTGGGCTAGCTTTCACTAACAAATAGACCAAAAACTGCAGTGGCTTCATACAATAGAAGCTCATTTTTTTTTCCTCACAGAATAGTCAAGAGTTTTTTTTGATATTGGTGGTGGTGTCTGCCCCATGGTATCATTCAGGCTCTCAGGTTGGTTGCAGCCCTGCCATCATCAACATATGGGTTTCTAGGTTACCCTGGAAGTTTGCATCCCAGTCAGCTGAGAGAAAAAGGGCGAGTAGAGGAGCACATGGGAGGTTTTTGTGGGAGCAGGATTGGGGTGGCACCCACCGTTTCTACTTACAGTAGGCTAGAAACCAGTTACATGGCTACACTTCACTGCAGATGAGGTTGGGCTCTATATCCAGGGGAAATAGGAAGGAGGTTTGGTGAAAAGCCAGCAGAGTCTAGCACAACGATGTAAGATAAGGATAAAGTATTTGGAGAATAAGCTCTCCATCAATGAGTTTGCATATTACATTGGATAAAAGATCTTGCTGATAACTGCTCTAAATGAAATTTCTGCAGAGTTAATCATATGGCTACTAGCAGTAGCCATATGGAATCCCTCTTTGGATTTCACTTTGAAAGCCAGGGGAATTAATATTGCAATTGTCAAATGATGCTGGACCCTAACTAGTAGAAGGGATGCAAATTCTCAATGCCAAGGAGTATTCCACCAATACAATTCATGGCCTAGACAGTGCATGAATTTTTAAAGAAGCAGTGCTGGTGTACAACAGAACTGTGTTTTATTGACATAGTTGGTAGCCCTTGGGTAATTTAGGGATAAATATTTTTATTGTCATTTTAGCGGTACCAAGAATAATATCATTGGCATATCTGTTGTGGAAATTTGTATAAAACACACAAGCTATAGGGACACATCAAGAGCTTTCTCACCTGAATACAAAAAAAGTATTGCAGCATCTGTGTTTAGAAAACTAGAAACTAGAATCTGGAGGGAAAGATATGAAGGAGCTCTGCATAACCAAGCCAAAGGTAAGCTATGACCATTTCTTAAGTTGTAACAGAACTATTGAAAAATATTACCTATCAGGCCGGCACTGCGGCTCACTTGGCTAATCTTCCGCCTACGGCGCTGGCACCCTGGGTTCTAGTCCCGGTTGGGGCGCTGGTTCTGTCCCAGTTGCCCCTCTTCCAGTCCAGCTCTCTGCTGTGGCCCAGGAAGGCAGTGGAGGATGACCCAAGTGCTTGGGTCCTACACCCACATGGGAGACCAGGAGGAAGCACCTGGCTTCTGGTTTCGGATCGGCGCAGTGTGCGGCTGTAGCAGCCATTTGGGGGGTGAACCAACGGAAGGAAGACCTTTCTCTCTGTCTCTCTCTCTCTAACTCTGCCTGTCAAAAAA